TTGGGAAGTTGAATCAGGTACGTTGGTCCGTATGTCTGGACAGGGACGCAGAAAAGAAACAGGTAGATAGGTAGGTAGGTAGGTAGATGGGTTGGTAGGTAGGTAGGTAGGTAGGTAGATGGTGCACCAGAGCAAGCGCTTTCGCGGGAGGCGAACAGTGGAGGCAAGTCGAGTCGAACCGGCAAGCCAGACGGATCATTTTATGGAGGCTGAAACCCCCATGAAACCGGTTTCTTCCTTGCGCGCGCTTCTCTCCTCTTCTTGCCCGTTTTTTGTTTCTCCTGGGACGTAGACGCCGTGTAACCATCGGCTGGTACTACCGCGATACACGGTTTTATACGTGTGAACGCACACCGATCCGAAATACACGGCATACGCGAAGGACAGGCGGCGTTACCACAGCATTCGCCAAAATTTACATTCCCTATTTTGCGCAATCCCCCGCAATACCCATTGTTTTAGGGTATCCTTGCGACCGGGCCGATCGGGAATCACGTTTCTGGACAGTTCTGGTGAACGATTCGGCCATCGGGGATGAAAGGAGCGTCATGTACTGGGTGTTGCGGAATTGTAGATTGGGGCTAGGCTGGCAGCGGCATACTGAAAATCGAGGAAAATCACTTGAACAAGTGTAAATTCACAATTTCGATGGTTATCGAGACGTACGGATTTCTGTCCTGGCAACGAATGCATGCAATTTCTTTAAATATGCAAAATAATGTGCGTCCGTTGAAACGTTTTCTTCGCATTAATCTCAAATGTAACATCAACGAGGCGAAATAATCCAAAGAAATATATTTGTTAATGTACATCTTCAAAATTTAGGATTTCAAAGAATCAAAGTTATAGAACGAGAGATCAATTTGCCAGCTTAACAGATATTTCACAATGGCGTCCAGTAATTTTATTTACGGCCCAATATAAACATCTGGAGTAATACAGGCCGCTAGAAAATAATTACGTTACTTTTAAGTTATTTTAAGTTATTAATAGGCTTAAAGACAATATTTAGCTTTCCCATTATTTTCCCTCTTACCTTGCCATAAATTACATATTCTATATTTATGCTCAGCTGTAATGGAAAATCTTATGTAGAACATAACGAACATCGTACTTTTTCTGATTAATTGCCCGTGATTCCTGCGTGTAGCGCACAAATCCGGACAAACTGGCTAGGACTAGCAACCATAGATGGTAGTTCGATGGTTTAGAACAGTCTCGACGTCCACGGATCGTGAACGGTGTTCCCACGTTACGAACTTTTAAGCACCTAGCCCTTAGTTCTCTGCACGTAGCAGGCGATAACGTAACCAGGCATTTCGTTTGGATTCTCCATTGTTCAGCATCGCGGACCATAACAAACTTTCGTCAGCTCCCTGAAAATGCATAATAAATAATTCAAACGATGCTTGTGAACGCAAGTATACTGTAGCATTCTTTAAATCGATAGATGTAAAATTGCGTCATGATTAATGCACAGATCGATCATGTTCTTATTAGATAAGCACGACTAATTTCGAAACAGTAGAAGCATATCTTCAACGACTCCCGTTGTCCAGCTTCGAACGACAAGAGTCGCTGGAATAGTGTGCGCGGACAAGATGCATACCGCAAGGTGCAGTTCTCATTGCGGCCGAAATGAAATAATCTAACTAAGAGTTATTATTAAATTTGCGACTACAAAGCCTAGAAAGCCGATACGATTGCAAGGGTAGAAGTATTTTTCAAATGGAACCGAATAAATTCAAGTAACGCGACCGTGAAGTAATTCGTTTATTCTAAAGCCTGTCAAGGTATCGATGTCTTTTATGAAAACGAAAAAGCACTTCACGAAACTGAGAGGAAATTCTCTTCCCGAAACCAACGTTCTCCCAGTTTCGAATTTCAAGGGAGGCGCTTCAAGATGGTCGCTCCTATTTCCGAGGACACCCTGTATTTTTTTAAATAAGTTCATCCACGCCGGGGAAAAAAGTGTTGTCGGTTTTTCGAGGTAGCCGACTCGATAAAACGCGACGACGGCAGCGTCATCAAGCTCCTCGACGACCGGCCGATTGAACGCGGGCCGCGATCGTGCCGATTCCTCTGATTGGCCGAGAGACCCGGCGTTACTCACGGCGCAAGAAGACTCTTTGTCTGTTTTTCGTCCGGCCGAGCAGCCGGCAACCGGCGGAGCGCAAGTTATACGTGCAGTCGGAGGTCCTTCAGCCGTCGCGCCGGCTGCAATTATTACACGCTCGCTTTCGGATTCGATCTCGACCCGACCCGACCCGACCCGACCCGGCCCGGCCCGCAGTTACCCGTCGCGGTTCCTCCACGACCCTCCTTATCATTATCGCAAACCCGCTGCGAGGGAGGACCTCACGAAAAAAAGGTGTGCTGGCGAACCGATCGGTGGTGTGTTTTCTCGATAGTTTTCCAGCCGAAGGATATCGGAGAAACGTCGACGGCGATCGATGGAAGGTAAGAAAATTTCCACTGTTTATTTCAAAAATTACACCGAGAGAAGTACGATTTCTAAAAATGCTTAGAGTCGAGATTAAATCGATTCGGGGTCACGCAGTCGGTTCTTCGGTTTCGCGGACGCTAAACGCTATTATTCGTTAACGGAGATTTATTTCGATTAAGCGGCGAAACAGAGTAATTCATTGTTCGTAAGCAGCGGGACGCTCGATGGTGTGCAAAACTAGTTTCCGACTAGGTTACCCGGTACATAGGTTGTATCCGACTTCCTCCGACGACCTTCATCACGGTATTGTTAAACCGTCGAATGGTTTTTTTTTTGTTTAAGAAAATGTATTTTGCTAAACGGTCGGTGGAAAACGAGATTTCGGCGGGTGAGTCCTTCTGTCGTCGGTTTTGTAATTGCGGCCCTGCTTGCTTCTGAAACACGATCATTTTGTACGTAGGAAGAAATCGAGCGAGAACCCGATGGGACGAAGTTCCTTGAGACGCTAGACGTACGGTACGGACATTTATACGTACGTATGTGCTTCAGGCGCGGACACTGCTTCGGTCAAGGTCGTAGTCTGCAAGTTAATGCTCTTTTTGCACGTTCTCGTTCCCCGACTGTATACGGTGTCTCGAAAAAGAGGCATTGTTGTCTGGCGAGGAAAAAGAATTTTAACGGCAGTTATCGGCGATATTTAGTAGAAATAGGATCGAAATATCGTATAGTAATGCAAATTTGTGACACGAGTAAAATCGAAGAACGCAAATTTATCGTTTCTGTTGGTTTGTTGCAAAAGTAATTTCGGTTTTTTTTAAAAAGCTATCTATTTGAAAAACCGAGGTTACTTTTGCAACAACCTTAAAATCTTTGAAAATTTCGTGTAACATGTACTCATAATTATTTGACTGCATTTATTAAAAAATAAAATATGAAACAATTCTATCTACTTCAATGCATGCACAAGATGACAAGATAAATTTTTATTGTTATAATTATGCTGTAGAGCTTAATTATGTCTAGGTATAATTTGAAAAAATGCGAACATTAAACGAGAGTTTATTCAATGTGTTAATACGTTTAATATTATAACGTTGAACGGCAGACGATATTAATTTGATCGTATTTTTTAGACTGATATTTTATATAAAAATATAAGATCTGCAGACTACGTTTAATTAAAAAGAATTGTGAACAGTGCGCAAGTAAGATTAGATAATATTCGGTGATTTGGATCAAATTAATGATACTTCACAATATTTTGTTTAATACTATAAATTGTATCTTCGATTTTATGTCTACTATTTTTCATCTGTCTACCATCAGTGGTTTTCCCTTGCTGAATCGGTGAATCCTCACAGGAGTAATTTCGTCGAATGAGATACTGTGTCGAGGATTGGTAACTCCACCACCGTTGGCGGAATTTGATGGCCAATGGGGTACGAGTTTCCTTCCCTCGGCGCGAAATACAACATTGATAATGTAATATTTCATGGAAAACAGCCTAACAATAGGCTCTTGGAAACCTCGTAAGTATATCAGTAAGTATGTATATTCACGATAGGCCACTTAATTAACGAAAGGACAATTTTTGACGGACTGAGCACACATGTATTCATTTATTACAGAATCCAATATCGACAAGCATGTTTCGCAATTTTTATCTCGCAGATTTTAGTGACTTTATCGACTGTACGAAAGCGCGTTCATCGCAAGTGATTAAAGATATCTTGAATTCTCGATGTTCAGTTATTTAGTTATTTTCATCATTCAATGAAAGTTTACTAATTACTTGAAAATTTCTAGATTTTGTGTAGAGATACAGAATTAGATTAATCACCGTATAGAATTCTCTGTCACACAATCTGAAATACCGACATTGCTAAGCATCAATGGTTTTCTTACGCCCTCTATCTAAATAGAACAGCCAGTTAGCGAACTACATAGAACTGCAGCATAAGAAAAAATAAGTTTCCAACGAGACTGGATTTTATCACACATGAGATATAAGGATAGACATAACATCTTACGGTCTTTCATAGCATATATAGTCGTCATCAGTACTGACCTAAAAATTTGAGACTCTTTATAACTTCCTTTCCTCATGAGCGTCGATTACCTGAGAAAATTGAACTAAATGAACGTGACTGGCCTACGGCCCCCGCTCGAGAATTAGTAATCGCGAAAAGAATGTTGTGATAAACGACGTTCTATCTGGCTGTATTGATTAATACTAAAATTTTATATTATTTCACGTTACATTTTTAATTTGTTTCTATTGATATTATCTGCTCCAGGAGCAGTGCTCCTATATCTCTTCTGTGGTTTTGCTATTTATAAATGTTATCTTGATTTTTTACAAGGTTTAATGATAGTATTTATTGTACTCTCTATTATGCAAGAAGTTTAAAAGACGACGCGGAAGAATTTGAAAACAATTATTTTGTACAGTTCGCAAGAATTTGCTGATAATAGCTGATAATAGTTCTACATTGACGAATTCTTTGTAGGCGTCGCCACAGTCGCCATATTGAAGATCCATTTTGATACGAGCGCGTCTGGAGTCTTAGGCTCAGTAGTGATCAGTAGCGTCACAAGTTACGGTTGTGTTATTGGTGAATGATTTGGTCTGTTTATACATGTCAGACATAATGTACAATGCGGTTCTGTCATTATTATTGTTTGTAACGACAATAAATTTTGGATACTGCACACAGAGAACTGTAAGTGACATTACAATTATAGTTGACATCGAATAATTCTACTCTTCATTATTCACGTATTTGGATCAATGTCCTTTCGAATGAAAAACAAAGGTCGTACATTTATGATTCATCGACCGATTGTTCTATCTTATGTCCAGAGTCTGTTGGAGTCTCTTTTGAGCTTATAGTAATATCGTGGATTATATATATATATATATATAGTCGTTGAATAACAATTCAATGGTAATTGGGAGCAATCCGTTGCTTAATAAGGAACACGAGATCCCATAACCCATTTATTAATTAACGTGAGAACTAATCGAGCGATATTGTCGTAATGCACAAAATTTTAAAAACAAGTTATAGTAAATAAAGTCATTGAAATAATGTTGTCAGCAAAATAAACAAAAATACGGTAATTTAATGTCGATTTATATTACATGCGTTTACATTGGAACGTGAAGAATATAAATATAATAAAAATAATTTTACAAAAATTATTATTTAGCACTTTTGTCATGATTTAATGAAATCGTCTAGTCTATGGTAATTGAAATATGAAACTGTGATAAATGCACTACATACATATCGAGCTGTAAACTATATATTTACATTTTTTTATATAAAAGAATTTGCCTGGCACTAGTTACGATCATGGGTGAATCCTGGATGTGGTGAATTATGTAAAGACACAAATTTGACAACAGTTCATTTAAGAGCTGATGGCCTGAATGACACCTTGCATTATTTATGGGATTTTGGTGGCAATCCATCCATATTATTAGCCCTCACTTCACCTTCAGCAGTTCTTCATATAGATTGGGAGGACTTCATTGCGAGGAAAAAGAATTCAGTAATATTTACGGAAGAACCTATTTATACATTTGGTATAGTTATAAATAAGGTCAGTATAACAAAGATCATTTTCTGTTGTAATATGTTATATTCTGTAAATTAATGAATACATTTATATATATAATCTTTCAGATTATAGAATTTAATGATTTAAACGACACAGCATTTATAAACATTAGCAATGTTGTAAACACAAACATTCTAAATCCTATGTTTTTCCAATGGGAACGAAAGACTTTAACTAGAAACAACGAATTTGTTTCCCTGGACATGGAAGGCAAAGATTACAAGGATGCATTTACAAATACTAGTAGACAGGGAACAGTAAAGTTTTCGGTAAAATATTTTAATTAAGTATTCAATTTGATACTCGTACTACAAACCATTATATTATGTTTATTCATTTCACAGCTGATAGGTTTTTGTTCCCTTGACCATTCAGAAATAATGCCACACATGTTGCACACTGAGAATTCCACTCAGGTGGACATTATACTTGATCATATGCAAATTAACAAAACATTCACCAATAGTAGGTTCGCCATTGAATTACTAGTGGTAGGGGAAGGAAATCCAGACATCCCTTTGTTTGTAGATCCTCAAAAAAGTTTGGACGATGAACACACTCCAGGCGTATTCGAGGTAATATTTAGTTACAAATATTTCTTGGATGATTTTTTATTCATATGTAACAGAGATTAAGTGTCATCCCAATTTTAATTTGATTGTTGTTGCAGGTTGTTGAAGTGCGTACTCCACCTTATCCAAACATGAATAACTATCAAACACAAGGAGCTTACTTGCAATGGAGACCGGTCTCCTATACAAGCGTATTTCGTGATTCAACGAATTTTACGGAAACAGTGCAATATCCGCCAATAAAAGTTGCTGATCACACAAATGCAATTAAAAACTCTTTGTTGTATTGCTATTACGGAGACAAAGTAAACGGTCTACTTACTCAAAGAATTATAGTATCACTAGGAGCAAAAGGGGACGGTTTTTATAGAAAGACGTACTATTCCACGTGGTAATTTCAAGTTTCATTTAATCACGTTCTTATTATACATTTGGACCAATCTGATAACAGTCTTTTTTCAGGACGTTCTTAGTTGGTTACGGCACACCGCCCAAAGAAAATTTCTCCTACCTGGTGATTATGATCATTTCGATTGGCATCGGCCTTCCGCTCCTTATTCTAATAGCAACCGGTATATATTTATGTGCTCGCAAGATTCATAAGCGACGTAGTGAGTCGTATCTAAGTCAATGATAGAATCTCTAGATCGTACAAAAATTTCTGCGTCGTGTTCGATAGACATATTTGTGCACGATTAGTTGTATTTGCGATACCACCGTTAACTCAGACGAAGAGATTTTCCTATATTTATATACATACATAGTATAGCACATATATTTTTTACACGAATTTTCAAGTTAATTCACCAATCAATTTGATGTATAATATCAACGCAATGCAAACGAACTATGCTGTACAAATTTATACACGTTTCATTAATAAATCAAAGATACGTACACACGCAAAGCACTACTTCTGTAAATCTCTGTTCTCCAATGACGCGATCCGCGGGACCAATGATTAAAAAAAAGAAAGAAAGAAGAGAAAGAAGAAGTAAAAGGAAGAGAAAGGAAAAAAAGAAGACAATAAGTGGGAGTTCATCGAGATAATCCCCCATTGAATGGCAGACAATTGTCCTCGGCTACAATGGCGACGGTACCAGAATGACGGTAAAGATCGCAGCACAATCGCGTCACCAGTTCCAAGAAGAAAGCTCTACACAGCCGGGCTTGCAGAAGCGGTCGGTTGTTCCGAAAAGGTGGACGAATGTTTTCAGGTAAAGTTAGTAAGGGTGGCGCGGTGTGGTACCGTGTTTCTCGCTATCACGGGGGTGGCGGGTGAGGTGCTGTCGGTGGAGGAGTACATTTCATTGATCCATTCGTGGTACGGAAGTCCGGGGCGTGCGAATTTACGAATCCTAACCGCGATATCGACCTCGCCACTATTTATAATCGAACGGCTATTACGAGGGACAGGCATTGTTTCTCGCGGTTATCCTGCTGGCGTGGACACGATCACGGCCCCGGCCCCGACGATCCTCGAAAAGGATTCCGTGAAAAGGCTTTTATCGTGGGGGGGTCAGCGGTGGATCCGATGTTGGCGCGGAGGCTACCGTCTACCGCAATCGTGATTGGTCGGGTACGGTTTTGTAGTTGCGACAGTCTCTCGCGCAGGGTAGTCGAGTCCGGTGGGTGGTCGGACAGGGGGTGACTCTCGCGTAGCGGGTTGCGAATGGTGCGGGTGCAGCGGGGTGCCTCGAAACTAGTTCCAGTTGAGTCCGCTGCGCGAGATTGGCGCGTGGCGGTGCAATAACGTCCGCGTCGGGGTTGTCTAATCGCGACAGTCCGCGAGAGAAGCTTTTTCTGGCAGGAAAACGGCGCGCCAGACTAAGAGGGGTGGTTTACAGACTCGGTGGGATTCGAACTGGTGAACAAGGTGAAGTTTCGTGGCCGGGGCCCGCCGGATTTAACGGAGAGTCGGCAGCAGGGTAGCCGCGGACGTAGGAAAACGTCGACGGACAAGAAAGGAGAGAGTGTGCTAGTGGCGGCCGAAGTGAGAGGGGTAGAAAACGGGGGGGTTCGATGCGAAAGAGTGAGAAAGTGTGCGCCGTAGGTGGGAGGAGGCAGTGAGAGAAACAGTACGAGTGAGAGCGCTAGAGTAAGGAGTGACAGAAAGAGACAGACAGAGAGAGAGAGAGAGAGAGAGAGCGAGAGAGAGCGAGAAAGAAAGCGAGAACTCGAGATCGCGGGGGGTGTAGACGGGTTGAAGAGAGCGGAATCAAGAGGAGGAACATAGAGAGGGAGAGAGAGAGAGAGAGAGAGAGTGTGAGAGAGAGAAAGAGCGAGAGAGAGAGAGAGAGACGGAGAGAGGGACCACGGGCGCGCGCGCGCGCGCCTCTATGTGCCAGGAGGAACCAACAGAGAAAGGAAGTGGAGAGGATCCAGTTGGTCAGGGTAGTTAAGGGTACGAAGAACGGTAGGAAGGCTGGAAAGACGGGAAGGAATCGTGTTAGTAGCCAGAGAAACCAGCAATACGGGGGTGACAGCGGTGACCGAGGTAGAACGCGTCGGGTCTGTCCCCCAGAAAGGGACCGTCGCGCGCAACGCGATCAATTTTCGTTGCGACGCGGGCGGCGAGACTCGAGGAAACGAAGAAATGACGACTGCAGCGAGATACCGATAACCGGCCAGATAATGTTGTCGCAGAGCAAATTTTACGCTCTCTTTATCCACTACACGTTTGTGTAGCGCGACACGGGGCGGGTCCTTGCCGCTGCGGTGAAGAACAGAGATCTAGGAAGAAGAAAAAGAAGGAGAAGAAGAAGAAGAAGAGTGCTGGTGGAGGTGCAAGCAGAAGAACAAAAAAAAACAGACAAGAACTAGAGGAACAAGAGAGCAGGAAGATATTCTCGGAGAATAACTCGAAGATACTCGAATATCTCTCGTTATCTGCATCGCGAAGGAACGAACAAGGGAGCTAGACAGAGAGAGGGAGAGAGAGGGAGAGAATCAAAGAGCGAGAGAGAGCGAGCGAGAGAGAGAGCGANCGCGTAGCGGGTTGCGAATGGTGCGGGTGCAGCGGGGTGCCTCGAAACTAGTTCCAGTTGAGTCCGCTGCGCGAGATTGGCGCGTGGCGGTGCAATAACGTCCGCGTCGGGGTTGTCTAATCGCGACAGTCCGCGAGAGAAGCTTTTTCTGGCAGGAAAACGGCGCGCCAGACTAAGAGGGGTGGTTTACAGACTCGGTGGGATTCGAACTGGTGAACAAGGTGAAGTTTCGTGGCCGGGGCCCGCCGGATTTAACGGAGAGTCGGCAGCAGGGTAGCCGCGGACGTAGGAAAACGTCGACGGACAAGAAAGGAGAGAGTGTGCTAGTGGCGGCCGAAGTGAGAGGGGTAGAAAACGGGGGGGTTCGATGCGAAAGAGTGAGAAAGTGTGCGCCGTAGGTGGGAGGAGGCAGTGAGAGAAACAGTACGAGTGAGAGCGCTAGAGTAAGGAGTGACAGAAAGAGACAGACAGAGAGAGAGAGAGAGAGAGAGAGCGAGAGAGAGCGAGAAAGAAAGCGAGAACTCGAGATCGCGGGGGGTGTAGACGGGTTGAAGAGAGCGGAATCAAGAGGAGGAACATAGAGAGGGAGAGAGAGAGAGAGAGAGAGAGTGTGAGAGAGAGAAAGAGCGAGAGAGAGAGAGAGAGACGGAGAGAGGGACCACGGGCGCGCGCGCGCGCGCCTCTATGTGCCAGGAGGAACCAACAGAGAAAGGAAGTGGAGAGGATCCAGTTGGTCAGGGTAGTTAAGGGTACGAAGAACGGTAGGAAGGCTGGAAAGACGGGAAGGAATCGTGTTAGTAGCCAGAGAAACCAGCAATACGGGGGTGACAGCGGTGACCGAGGTAGAACGCGTCGGGTCTGTCCCCCAGAAAGGGACCGTCGCGCGCAACGCGATCAATTTTCGTTGCGACGCGGGCGGCGAGACTCGAGGAAACGAAGAAATGACGACTGCAGCGAGATACCGATAACCGGCCAGATAATGTTGTCGCAGAGCAAATTTTACGCTCTCTTTATCCACTACACGTTTGTGTAGCGCGACACGGGGCGGGTCCTTGCCGCTGCGGTGAAGAACAGAGATCTAGGAAGAAGAAAAAGAAGGAGAAGAAGAAGAAGAAGAGTGCTGGTGGAGGTGCAAGCAGAAGAACAAAAAAAAACAGACAAGAACTAGAGGAACAAGAGAGCAGGAAGATATTCTCGGAGAATAACTCGAAGATACTCGAATATCTCTCGTTATCTGCATCGCGAAGGAACGAACAAGGGAGCTAGACAGAGAGAGGGAGAGAGAGGGAGAGAATCAAAGAGCGAGAGAGAGCGAGCGAGAGAGAGAGCGAGAGAGAGAGAGAGCGAGAGAGGGAGAGAACGTGCGAGATAGAGACAGAAAGCGAGAGATAGACAGATAAAGACAGAGAGAGACAAGAAATAAAAAGTTTGTCGTGGTACGGTGTTAAGTTTACAGTGTACGTTGCTTGGTAGTGTGCTACCCTTGCCGAGGCTGAACAAGCAAGGCCCGCGGAGGTATCTCAGAACCCGCCCCTCCTCGACGTCGCAGTGCCTCTTCTCCATATCGCTACGTCGTGCTTCTTTTCGTTTAAGCGGCGACTATCTACGCTACCGGAGAAACTCCTCGACCGTAAGTGTGTACCCCATATACATGTCTCTGGTATTGGAGCAAACATTGACTAAGGATCGATCCGGGGGCTCATAAGTAAACCGCGGTCGGCCGCCAGTGGAAACGTTCCTCGACATACAGCATAAACACCACGGTGCGTCCGTGTATGCCAGGGGGAGGGGGGTGGGGGCCCAGTCTCGCCTGTCGCAGTCCCAGTCGTTTCGCGATTCCGCCGCGATTCCACCGCGACAGGCCGCGACCGATAGACCGCGTGTGTTCCCCTAGAGGCGCTGTAATGGCGCTTCTGCTCTCGTCCCGAATCCTTCTGGCTCGTTTCATAATCGTTCTCTCCGTTCCGTCGCGTCGCCAGCGGATTTTCGAGCGCACACAGCCGGATACACGCTCGTCCTCGACGGTGACGTAAAACGTTTCCCTCCGCTAATCAATTATCGTCCAGCCACCTATGCCTATTTCGATTAGCTCGGAAAGGATAGCGCACGAATCGAATCCGTAAGGTGACACATACACACACGTACATAGATAGATAGAGAGATTGAGAGAGAGAGAGAGAGAGAGAGAGAGCGGGAGAGAGAGAGACACACACACACAAATTCACACACAGGTGACATATATCTACTTATAGCGTGACGCGCGACTGCTGTTCCATTCCCGATATATCGATCGATACCGCCTCGGTCAGGGATCAGTCAGGGGTTCACTAGCGATAACCGCTTCGGCTCGTCCTTTTGTTCCCCTTACCCTTGTTCTTCTTCTTCTTCTTCTTCATCTTCGTCTTGTCGTTCGTCGTCTTCCTCTCCTTCCTCTGCGAGGCGCTCGCCCACCGACTCCTCTCGCGAGAGATCGGCCAGCACGTGAAATAGCTTTTCGGCCAAGCTTTATGTGCCGCCGCGAAGGTCGTAGTTGCAGCGCTCGTGACAGCGGGTTATATCGTATTCCTCTGTATGCCCGTATGGCTTGTATTCTTGTGTCTCGCGATGACCTTCCTCCGCGCGAAAATTGCCGGTCAATACGACGTGCACGATCCGCTTAAGAGTCGTGCGATGATATCGATCACCGGACTATCGTGTACACCGTCGTTCCCGGAGACTTTTTCTATCGCAGCGGGAAACGCGTGAACCACCCCCTCCCTCCTCCCCCCGCGCCGATCCTCGCGGCCATCCGCTGTTCCGATTCATCTGCGAGTTCTTTTTTTTTGCTCGAACATTCCCAGCCGTTCGATCGGCCGGCCGTCCCTTTTACGCTCGGAGAAAAGACAGCGTTAGGTTTGTAGGTCGAGTCACCGGTGCTGGCAACGTCCAACCAACGATCGTTGTCGTTAATGAATCGTAGAGGCGTACCGGATCGTTCGAATCCAGTTGATCGCGATTAATTGACCCGGGGATCCGCGTAGTCGTTGATTAAAAAGCGCTCGCGAGTCGATCGATTAATTTCGGGCACGACGAAGGAAAAAAGAGGGGCCGTCCTTACGGCGCCGTCTTCGCCGTTGAACAATTTTACGAACAATTTTCCTTAATAAATAAAAGATCGATACTACTACGGCCGCGTAATGTCAGAGGTCGTATCAAAGCTACATTGTCTGTGCTAAAAGGAAGCGTATTTTCCCATCCATTCGGCGCGAGAAAAGCGTGACGTCAAAGCCGATTCCTTAGACATCGTCCCTGTTGCTGCCACCTCGGGCGTATACAATGTTTAATTCAGGAAACTCGTTGCGGCGAGGTTTACTTGTTGGCGTTTGCTGTGCAACACTTTTTCCACGATGAATTTTTACTTTTCTAAACAACGATCAGCCAACCGATCTTCCGTTTCCAAGGATCTCCGATTAAAGCGAATTACGTACCTCTTATCGTTCGTACTTAATTATCCGACATCGACGCCTTTGCGGTTTCAGACGCGCCAATTAGGATTTCATCCTCGTGATTCGGTCGTAACGTTTCTCTGCGCGTTTGCGCGGCGCTAAGAAAATGCGATTTCGAAATTCTCGCTGCTTCGAAGGAACGAATTCGTTTCTCCCAATCGCCCGACAAACGCATCGACAGATTGCGGTCTTTCACAGCCGCGGTTCCCAAAATTCACGATCTCGTATTTTCAGCGTTTTAGCCGCGATCTCGTAATCGAACGCGTTTCTACGGAATTCGAATTCCTTCGGTTTGCGCCGCGAATGCGGATCCACGCTTCGGAATACGCGGCGTCGTCGGTCACCGGTGACCGGCGTGCGATTTCGTACCCTGTCACCGCGGTCGTCCGAAGGGTGGGGTTGCGCGAGGGAGGGGGCAGGCCGTCCTCACTCGAACGGGGTTCGAGCCTTTCTAATTTCGAGTGCGCCATATCGAGGAACGGTGGCACAAAAACGCGCGCGCACCAGAAACGGCGAGGGTGAAAGAAGGAGGGAGATTTTGCAGGGCAAACGATGGGCGAGCAAATGCAACAGGTGTGATATGCCTCGCTCAATGTTCGGAGCACAAATGCTCCGAAAGCTGTAGGTGTCCACCGGGTTTCGATCGACTTTATTGCTTCGTCGATTCTTCCACAGCTTCGGCGGATTTTTCTTATTTTTCCTCGAGACACTGTCTAGCTTCTGCCTGTAGACGGTTGGAATCGATACGAATGATTGCGCTGGGGCTTAAGACTGGTTATGTCGGTTCTCCTCGGAGGCTGCTGCAAGTACAGCAGTCCTCGTACACAACGCGAGCGTTATTCGGCTCTCGGTACAGGTAATTTCTCCCTAATTCGCGTCCAGATTGCGCACAAAAATGGACAATTTCGTAAGAGGAGACACGATTATTCGTTTTTATAGTTGTTGACTATCGGTAACTATAAAAGCGAACTGCAAGGCTCGAATTATCGTATCTCCTCTTCCCAGATTGTCCATTTTTGTTTAGAATCTGAGGGACAATTTGGGTGAATTTACTGTATTTCGGATTAACTTCGGTATTTCAAATTACCAAAAGTATTACGATTACTGTAAATTCTCCCTAATTTGCGCTCAGACTGCGCACAAAAATGGACAATTTGGGAAGAGGACGGCTTACCGATTGTCAACAACTATAAAATCGAGACGCAAGGCTCGAATTATCGTATCTCCTCTTCCCAGATTGTCCATTTTTGTTTAGAATCTGAGGGACAATTTGGGTGAATTTACTGTATTTCGGATTAACTTCGGTATTTCAAATTACCAAAAGTATTACGATTACTGTAAATTCTCCCTAATTTGCGCTCAGACTGCGCACAAAAATGGACAATTTGGGAAGAGGACGGCTTACCGATTGTCAACAACTATAAAATCGAGACGCAAGGCTCGAATTATCGTATCTCCTCTTCCCAGATTGTCCATTTTTGTTTAGAATCTGAGGGACAATTTGGGCGAATTTACTGTATTTCGGATTAACTTCGGTATTTCAAATTACCAAAAGTATTACGATTACTGTAAATTCTCCCTAATTTGCGCTCAGACTGCGCACAAAAATGGACAATTTGGGAAGAGGACGGCTTATCGATTGTCAACAACTATAAAATCGAGACGCAAGGCTCGAATTATCGTATCTCCTCTTCCCAGATTGTCCATTTTTGTTTAGAATCTGAGGGACAATTTGGGCGAATTTACTGTATTTGGGATTAACTTCGGTATTTCAAATGATCAAAAGTAATATTACAATTACAATAAATTCTCTCTAATCTGCGCTCAGATTGCGTACAAAAATGGACAATTTGGGAAGAGAAGGTACGATTATTCGAGGCTTGCGGCTTATCGATTGTCAACAACTATAAAATCGAGACGCAAAGCTCGAATAATCGTATCTTCTTTTCTTAGATTGTCCATTTTTGTGCGCAATCTGAGCGCGAATTAGAGAGAAATTACTGCAGTTCGCGCATTAATTCGTGTAGTTCCATCTGGTATTCGAGATCCCTGTGTCAATCCTTGTTCAATATATTGATATTCGTCGGATGCGATCATTTAAAAATTCCGATTTCTTCTTAAAATAACGAATCTTCCGTTGGCAGAGTCTGCTTTTGTTAAAACTAACCACGAATATTCAAATCTATCTTCAAATAACCTTGACACGGAATAAGCTAATTTTTCGTTAGTTATTATATCGTTTAAACCACAAGGAGCCGTTCCCTTGTTTGCATGTTCGAAAATCCGAACAATTTAAAACGTGCAAAAGCATACTCCTCGTCGAAGAAACTTCATTCGAAACTTCCGACTCGTCCCTCCGCGTGCAGGATATCTTTCTCGTATCTTTCGTGCGCGATCAAAGCGGAAAGACTGGTTCGAGAAACGAAGTTTCCGTTTGAAACTTCCTGACCGCGTTTCCAAGTACGATATTTTTTTCTAGTCCCGTCGGACTTTCTTATAATTGCAAATCACTCCGGTGGAATGCCGATGGGTAGCCGCACGGTTTCCGATCCCAACAGGGACTTCTAACGTTAGACGCGGGGGAAGAGCGCTCGATGGGGAGGGCACACGGCCGAAGTATAGGGAAAATAATAAGAGGGTTCAAGGTTCTATCGATTGATGAAGAACACTTGATCGAGATCGCATCTGGCGGTTGGCTGGTCTCCCGAAGCGCAACGGCGAGTTAGACTCGTAAGAGGAGTCAGGCGTTAGGCAGCCAGGCAGGCAAACGGACAATCGATCGATTGTCCTCGCAAGAACGCATGGCCCTGTTCTGCGCCATGCTCTAGCCTCAGATATACTCTGTCTTTTGTGGGTCGTGTCGTTGCAGCTGATGCCGCGGGAGCAACAATCCGTATTACGTATCTAACGCTTCGATCTTCGTTAAACATCGGCCTCGGCGTCGATCGTTTCACGGCATGATTCCGTTCGAATGAAACATTTATGCGGCCTACGGTCGTGTGAACGATTATAGAATCAAAGAAATTTTTATATTTCTAACGATATTTAAATGAAAACTTAACAAAACATCAAATATTATATATTTTATTTTATTATATATCATTATTATTATTATTATTATTATTATTATTATTATTATTATTAT